ATGAGCAAAGTCATTGTAAGACCAACAGTTGTCAGAGGTCACAAAGAGCTAAAGGGAGAGATACATCATATGAAAGTTATTAACAAGGCCCGTGGAAAACCACAACGCAAAGATTTAATTTGGACACAGACAATGTCACTTCTCAAGTAAAAGTAGATTGTTTAGATCGCACTTAATATATATGATTCCATGTACAAAAGGTTCTGTAGCTGGGTTGAGGTTTACTTGTTAAAAATTGATAATTTTTAATTCAGTTAAAGAAGCCTTGTTTGAACATTATATCCATGACAGTGAATTCAAAACTATTACTAGTACTAGACTAGTACCAGTTGATGAACCAGAAAGATAAAATGCTTGCTTAACCAATAGAAAAGTACGTGATCCCATCATTAGGAGTAAAATACGAACACCAGCTATTGGCTTCTTGTGATGATGATGATGGCATGTTGAATGTTTACTGCATTTTACCAATGCTAACTTTTTGATGCATGTTAATGCAATTGTAACATGAACTCTGTCATAAACTGTTGTTAAATGTTACAGAGGGGATACATTAATAACTCAAAAGTTACGAGGCTTAAAGTAATGTTTGTAAAGTACAAAAAGTTGCTCCCTTTGTCGTGTCCTAAGGGAGAACGGTGAGGAACATGGAGGACTTGGATGCTGCCTGGACCAGATGGTGCGTCGGTCATGGCTCTGGGTTTCTGTGACTTTGGGTGCCAGGACTTGATGGAGTCAGAAGTGAAGTGACAGGAGAGAGGCTGAACAACAGAAGAGAGGCAGTGGTGGGAACAGAGAGTTCCAACATGCAGAGTGTGGGTCCGGGTGTGAAGGCTCTGGCTGTCTGTTTGCTACTGTATGATTGATTTACAACGTGGTGATAATGTTCTCAGAAGATGACAAAGCAACAGGAGGAGCAATATATCGGGTCGAGTTGTGTGACAGTGTTTATGATGTTCTTAGTTCTGCAGGAGGTTATGAAACAACAATTGTGAGAATTACTATTCTTGTGGTACTACTGCCTTATTAGGCCCAGATGAAGCAGAGCATATTAAAACCACATCTCATGTACAACAACGTCCTTACTGACAACAAATAAGCACTAATTAGAGGGTTATTGAGGAAAAACTCTCAACTAATGGCTTATTACTTGTAGAATATGGTCATGTAGAATAAGGCATTAATAAGTGTTTTATAATGACTAATAAAGAGCCTATTATACTGCTAATATGCATGTTAAAACAACTAGTTGATGGTTAATTTGTGTACCTTAATATAAAGTGTTACCCTCCCACAGATGAGTATGTATAGGGAACATTAGTTAGAATGACATCAATTAGGGAGGATTTATTAGGGGACTTAATGTTAGGGCGAGTAGGACTGTCAACAATCTGAGTAACATTCAAAGAGATACAAAGGTTTTTTAAATCCTCTGACACTGCAGTTAACCAGTCCCAGTTAAAATCTCCAAGTAGCACTATTACCTTGTAGTCTAGTTGTGATAAAAGATTTGCCAATGAAGACAAGGATTCCTTGATAGCTGAGGGGGGTCTGTAACAGCCCACCACCATGACCTGTTAACCCTTTGCCACTTCAATATTTAAGGCTAAACATTTGAGTTGCTTACAGATTGATTTGGAAACCAACGTGGTTACACTAAACTTATTCTTCACATAAATGGCAACGCCACCACCTTTTATTAGGCCGGTCGGTACGATATACACTGTAACCATTTCAGGAGATGTCAGAGGTCAAAATAGATTTATTTAGCCACGTCTAGGGATGCTCCGATCGATCGGTCACCGATCGAGATCGGCCGATACTCACTCTCTACCGATCGATCGGTGCTCTCTAAACATGCCGATCGCGAGAGCCGATCGCATGACGTAAATACATGACACTTTTCTCTGTGTGCGGCAAAACAATCTCGCCAAAATGGCTTCACCGGTCTGGCAGTATTTCAAGGTGTCCGAAAAAGACAGTAAAATAGCGGTATGCAACGTGTGTGTGAAGCAGAAATCCTGCAGCTCCGCCCGCTGAGACGGACCGGTGAGCGGAGCAAAACACCAAGAGTTAGACCTACTTAGCTATTTGATCTACCTCTGGAACAAGCTAAACTAGTTATTATACATATATTTATTCTTCACTGTCGGGTCACTCATTACTGGATCAGTGAGCTGCATGAGATACTGACAGGCTGTCAGGAGGGAGAGAGGGAGGGAGAGAGGGGGGAGAGAGGGGGGAGAGAGAGAGGGAGAGAAAAAGAGAGCGCTTCCTCATCTCTCCCTGTTTATTATCCAAAGTGAATGTAAACTTGAATAATGTACATCATTTGAATGTAATAATTAAGTTGATTGTTGTTGTGGAAGCTCCAGTGAATGAGCCCCATTAACTGAGTTTAAACATCCCTTTAAATGGAAGATTTAAAGTGATGTTTAAATCTTCCATTTAGGCCCCGCCCACTTGATCGGATCGGCTATCGGTATCGGCCGATACTGATTTCTTCAACAATTCTTGGTAACTAGTGTGATGAATTGATATACAAATGGTCTTTCTGTGGATGAATCATTACTTTGAACTAGCATTTACTTGAATTGCCAGATATCCGGATAGTTCATAGAGTAAAAAAATAGAGTCAACTAAAATACTGGGCATGACTTTAAATGTGAAAGTAAATGACTGTGTGCATGTGTGTTTGTTGAAATGGACAAGAGTGGGTAAGGAAGGGATAATATGTATGACCCCTTGTTGCCATGGTGAGGTTGCCAACAAGAGTGGCTTGTGACTGAGTGAGCACAGCAATCATTCTACTATCAGGCTCACAGGCACATAGCTTATTCCCAGCAATGCTTACAAAAAAGTCTTCTCGACCAGTTTTGGCTACAATGCACTATAATAAAATGGGCCATCTTAACATGACCTGTTCTGTGAAGAGAAAACCCTCAAAACTACTGATGTCACAACAGCAGTAGCACTGATGTAGTAGCTTCATCTGAGGATTATTACAGGGATTTCTCAGCATACAAAGGAAGAGTTCTGTTTCACACGAGAACATTACTCAATCACGAGCAAAACAGCATCATGGCAAAGCATCAAGCATTTAATAGGCACAATTATTGCTATACTGCTCTGAAAAAAACGCTTTTATCACTCCTGCAGTTACTAAACAGGAGAAGAGAGCCATCCCACATAAACCACTAAACACCAGGAGGCTAAAAACCCTGATCATAAATTGAAAATATATGATAAGGTATTAAGTGACTGTAAAGTTAAGTTCCTATTGTCATGACGGTCTTTACTTAGATTAGTATAGGAATACATGGCTAAATCTTAATGCAGCATCATGGTTCGGAGTCCTACATTTGGGTGTTGGCTGACATCAACTTTCCAAACCATCCACAACGTGTTCGTATAAAAAGATCATAGTACCTCCTGGATTCTGCCATCTCTATGAGTGTTACTAGGTACTAGATGCAGGCTAGGCAATAAACACCTGACAGTTAGTGAGTCAGGAGCATGGTGAAAACCACATGACAGGTCAGTGAGGAAAGGTGGCAGCGTCTCCCATGGCACAGCCGGGCTCAAAATGAGTACAATGTTAAT